GAATTTGAAATTCAGGTGAACTCTTGCCAGGTTGCAGTTGTGTGCAGTGGCCCAGCTTTGCACAAAGGAGGACATACATACAGTGGGCTTCTGCAGGACTTTCTACACAGCAGTTGCATTTGTATGCATTATACAGCATTTATATAGCACATGCACATATGGCATATACATTTTCACATAAAAGTGCTTTGAAGCCTGCCAGGCATATAATAGTTGTATCAGATAGCTGTTGTAAAATAACCAATCCCAAACTCAGTGGCTTAATATGCACATATTTCTCAAGACCCAGGAACAGGTGAGGTAGTAGATCTGGTTTTGGCAGGGCTCATTCAGGAGTGTGCAGTCGGGGAGGCGGGAGGGCAGCTGTGCCGATCCAGGCTGGGTTGGCTCAGATACTTTGGGGTTGGCTAGCTGTCGCTGGGCTGCAGTGGCCTCAGCTGGGATTCTGAGTTCTCTCACCTTCTCTATCTCCATGTTTCTCATCGCCCAGCAGGCGGCCTAGGCTGGTTCACTTGGCGGAGGATGAGAAACATGCAGGGCTGGGGGAGCAAGGTTATTAGTGGAAGCTGCGAGGCTCCTGGAAGCGTGGTCTCAGGCACGCATGCCAGCACTTCTGACATGTTCTGCTGGCCAGAGCACGTCCCCAGGTCAGCCCAGTTTCAAGTGCTGGGGGAGCTGCAAAGCTATTGCAGGTGGCACGGATCCAGGGAGAGGTGAAGAACAGGGACGCTTTTACATCCAGTCTGCCAGGGTGGATTAAGTAAGGTAGTGGGCACCCCCCAGGACACTGGCCCTCTATCCACTGTCCCCCTGTCCCCCACCCCAGGGACCGTGTGTGACTTCCGCATGTCCTATGGCCGGGTCCTCAGCCGTAGCAGCAAGATCATCATTGTCAACCGTAACCGGAAAGAGATGTTGATCAACTCAGACATGTTCTGGAAGCCCCAGGAGGCCGTGCAGGGTGAGCCCCCAGTGCCACCCCCCACCCCACACCTGGGCCTTCTGCCTCTGCAGCAGCTATCTTGAGCTGGGTGCTGCTGATCAAGGCCCAGACCCTGCCCCAGGGGGCACCCAGTTGGCCAGAGACAAATGCTTGGCTCAGACTGGTGCTTCTGGATGAACCAATGGCGGGTGTGCGCCCCAGGGAAAGCCTGGGAATGTGCATGTGATCATGTCCTCTGGCTGCAAACCTTCCCACACTGCCCACTGCTGTCAGGACAGAGTTCACTCCTTGGCCCCTGAGGCCTCTGTCATCCCGTCATAACCCCTTCACTCCCTTCCCATGGTCTTTCTGTGCCCTGCTTTGCCCATTGTTCTAGGATGTTGACTGCCCTGCAGCGTAGGTGACAGGCAACTCTTGTGTCAAGCAGAGAAATGGCACCATTGCATTTGTGTTGGGGAAGGTCCACTGTAGCAGCCGGTGAGCAGCGAGTTGGAGGGGGCCGGGTGGCGCCAAGGGGCCTCTTAAACAGGGTCACGATGGAAATGACAAGGCCTGAGGCGGGGATGGACAGGGAGGAAAAATTCAACTTCTCTGAGCCTCCAGGCTATCATTCCTGAATGGAGATGATAAAATCACCAGCTCATTTATTGTTCACTCCACAAGCACTCTGCGTGCCTGGGTTGTAGAGACGCGCTTCATGGATGGAGGTGTTTGTAGTGATGTGTTTCAGGGTAGAATTGATGGGACTGCATGATCTGTGGTGTGACAGGGAGGCAGGCAGCTGACGAGGTCGGCTTGGGATTCTAATCTGCTTTGTGCTCCCTAAACCTTGCCCACCTTCTCACCCTGGTTGCCCTAACCTGGTTCTGACAGGCTCTGGGGTGTTTTGCCCGTTTTGCCCAAGGAGTGCCCTTGTCCTGCCTCCTTGCCTCCTGCTTCAGGGCTGCTGTTGGCATCCTCCTGTCTTTGGGCCTCTGGTGCTAGAAGGGCAGGACAAGGCCACTTCTCCACAGCTGTGCCCTTTTCCTTCCCCAGGAGACGTGGGCTCCTTCGTGGTGAAGCTGGTGGAGGGCCTTCAGGGCCAGACATGGGCCTCAGATTGGGCAGAGGAGCTTCGGCAAGGCGACCGGCAGAAGGAGCAGTCCTTTCGGTGGGGCCTGATGGAGTGGAGG